TTCTCCTCACTTCCCTCCATTTTCCTAGAAAAGATTTTCTATTCCTACTGGCTCCTGACTGTACTCTATCTGCCACCAATCCCCTCTACTCTATTCCTCCCCCATTCACAGGTATCTCATGCTGCCTTTATCCTCCTAGAAATAGGGGAAGAGTTGCAGTTACACTGCTGCAATTTTAAAAAACAACAAAAGACCCATGTTCTAGTTGTGCTGGCTCGAACCCTTAAACAAGCATCCCAGCACCTCTGCTCAGCTGCTCGGTGGTACCCACTCGTGCCACGTGTCCACAAGGACTAGCCTTGCCCTGACATCCTGCTTCTCTGACATGCCCCTGCCAGGAATGGGGGGCGGTAGCCAAGACTTGTGGGCAGAGGTCTGGCTCACCTTCTCCTGAATGCTAGTATTGAGCCTCCTCAGTGTCTCCTGGAAGTTCTGGTTCCGTGGCTCAAGGGTGGCACAGCGCTGCACGTCCTTGAAGGCCTGGTCCAACTTCCCCAGGTGCTCCAGGGCCTGGCATCGCCGGTACAGGGCCTTGATGTCCGAGGAGTTGATGTCAATGGCTGGGGAGGGTGACAGGCAGGGCCTTAGGGGGCCGGGCTACAGACCGCCTTTCCTCCTCCCCTGCCATCGCCCCCAATCTCTTCCTTTGAGATTACCTACCCAGATAGACGATTGGCCCAGAGCTCCCCTTTGCTCAGGAGAGAGTGAAAATCATAGTCTCAAGGCTGGAAGGAAGTTTGAGGGTCATCCTGCCCAACGCCTGATGCTCCAGAACCTGCTACGTGATGACCCCTGCCAAGCGTTCATCCAACTGTGCTTGCATCCCTCAAACACTGGGGAGCTTTCTCCTTCTCCAGGCAGCCCGGCAGCTCCACCATCAAGCCCTTCCCTTTTCCTCCCTGAAATCCATCTCTCTGTAACTTGGCCCTTTTATTCTACATTCAGCCCTGGAAGCCCCGAGATGAAACCCAGTCTCTCTTCCTCATGACAGCATTTGCTTTTTAGGGTTTGAAGGCAGCGCTCCGTCCCACCTGGGAGTAGCCTTCTCTGAGCTAAATATTGCCACTCCCCTCGACTGCTCTTCACAGGATGTTTCCAGTCCCCTCTCCAGCTGGTTCCCGACCTTCTGAACTCACTCCAGGCTATCCGTTTCCCCTGAAAGAATGGTAACCGGGTCAAAACCCAACACAGGCCTGTGGCCAAGAGATCATGCCCTTAAGCCAATGTTGACTTCTGTTTATTTTTTTATGTTTATTTCTCCTAGTGGTCGTGGCTCAGGCTAAGGCCTCCCTCTTCCCCAGAGGAAGCCCGGCTCCCACAGCGAGGACTGAGCTGTGGGCCCGGTTCTGGGGATCCCCCATGGCAATATCCTAATTTTCAACAAACGGGGTATATGCCACACCATGAAAAGGATTCCCAAAAGCATCTCTTAAGAAAAGAAACCACTGCACCGTATTTAACATGCAACCCCATTTGCAAAAATGTGACTTAGACACAGATGGCACATATGAAGCCCCACCTACAAGACCTATGATGACGCTTACACAATTTGTAATTCCTTGGAGCAGGGGTCCTCAAACTTTTTAAACAGGGGGCCAGTTCACTGTCCCTCAGACCATTGGAGGGCCGGACTATAGTTTAAAAAAAAAACAAACTATGAACAAATTCCTATGCACACTGCATATATCTTATTTTGAAGTAAAAAAACAAAACAAGAACAAATACAATATTTGTATTTGCATGTGGCCCGCGGGCCGTAGTTTGAGGACCCCTGCCTTGGAGTGTCAAGGGCCTCTTAGACAAAACAGAGGGGTGTGGGGTCAGGGCCAAGGGGGGTGGCTCACCTCTGGAGGCATCTGAAGCCGCCTGCGCGTAGCTCTCCTGAGAAAAAGAAGGAAGAGACTTGATTAATGTGGGCCCAATGCAGAGACAGCCTGAGAGGGTCTCCATGGGAAGGGGGAGGGGGCGGGGGGCAGGACGGGCAGTTGCTGGGAGCTTCCGGCTGTCAGAGGCCTCGGGGAGGGCCCCTCGCTGCTTGTGGAAAAGTGGGTGAGCTTTGGCATTGGGTTTGAATTCGGGCTCTGCTACTAACTCCGTGGGAAATCTTCGGCAAGTTACTAAACCATCAGAGCCTTGAGATTCCTATCTACCGTGTGGGCAGCTGCCTCCCGGGCTGTTGTTAAGATGCCACAAAATCACATATGGGGAGCCCCTGGCTGGTTCAGATCTGGGGGCCTTGCTGTCTCCCAGAGGAGTGGGTCGGGCGGTAGGTCTAGGAAAGCAGTGAGAGGTGCCCCTCTCCAACCTGAAGGGCCAGGTGAGAGGGCTGGGATGATGGAGGATGGAGGATGTCTGCACCCCAGCCCCTGCCCTCAGCCCCCCACCCCGGCTCCGCACCGTTTTCAGGCCACAGGCTGCCCGGTTCCGGTAGAGCGTAGCCAGCAGGGCCTTGTCCTTGGTCAGCTTCAGGGCCTGGCTGTAGCTCTTGGTCGCGGCCTTGTAGTCCTGGAGCTGGAAGTGCCTGTTCCCCTCCTCCTTCAGCTGCACAGCTTCTATCTCCGCCATCTGTCAGGATAAGACGACTCTGTGTGGCCAGCTACTCAACCCGGACCCAGGGCTGGACTCCTGGCTTGAGGTCTGGAGCCCCGGGGTCCCCTCCCACCAGGACGGAAGGTGAGGATTCTGCCTGGAAAAGACCTACGCCCAGCACCCTGAGGCCACTGCCCAGAAGAACTTTACAGCGTCTGCTTGGAGCATGGACCGCGATGGGAGGGGTCTCCATAGCCCTGTGCCTCCCTCCCAGCTGGGCAGGTGAAGTCACCACCACAAAGGCCTGAACTCTCACTGCAGACCCTGAAGGTCCGTGCCAGCCCCCCTCTCCCTCCCCGTCCTGGGAACAGTCCGACGGGCTCACTTTCTCCTAAGGACACTGCTCTTGGTCTGTTCTCCTGAGACGCTGCTCCTCTGAGCTCCGCTGTGAGCCCCCAGCCAGTCAGCCTCGGTCTGCCCCTCCCAGGAGACTTTATCGCCCCTGCCAGTGGCTCCAGACCATATTTGGACACAGGGGCAGGTGCCCCTGGAGCCTGTCATTGATACTCGGGGCCCTCCTCCTCCCCAGACTGGACAGTCAGTACCACGTGGAGGTGGGAGCTGACTAACGGAGGCCCCAGCACCTTGCTAAGGGGCTGTCCTGGGGGCTCAAGCACTCATACCCGAAAGAGTGAGAGAAAAATCCAGAAGGTACGGGAACCCCCCGGCAGATCTGCTTCTCTAGGCACAGCTCTGATGCCCCTTCTCCACCTCCATCCCAAATCAACAACCTCTCCTCCCTCCCCCAACCACAGCTATTTTGGGAGCAGAGTGACAGCTGAGGGGCTGACAGACGTGGAAGCACAGGGCAGCTGCCCAGGTCCCGGAGGAACTGGAGGCTTCCAGAAATGCCCTCAGGAAGGAGGAGGGAAGAAAAGACAGGAAAGTTCCTTCCCCTGTTCCGCTTGTCCACAACTTTCCTACCCTCTGGCATTCACTTGTTGAAAATGCCCTTGCTTTACAGAAAGACCGGCAGACTTGTTCACTCTCTTGAATGTAAGTGGGTTCTGAGGGAAGGGGAGGTGGGGGAGGTAGAAGAAGGTAAAGAGGAGATAAATGGTGATGGGAGGAGACTTGACTTGGGGTGGTAAACACACAATACAATATACACAGATGATGTAGTGTAGAATTGCATACCTGAAACCCATATCATTGTATTAACCAATGTCATCCCAATCCTCCTACATAATAAAAGGCTAATATGCAAATCGAACAATGGAACAACCAGTCGCTATGATGCTCACTGACCACAAGGGGCAGATGCTCAATGCAGGAGCTGACCCCTGATGGTCAGTGTGCTCCCACAGGGGGAGTGCCGCTCAGCCAGAAGCTGGGCTCATGGCTGGCAAGCACGGTGGTGGCGGCGGGAGCCTCTCCCACCTTTGTGGCAGCGCTAAGGAGCGGGCCTAAGCTGGCAGTCGGACATCCCCCAAGGGCTCCTGGACTGTGAGAGGACGCCAGCCAAGCTGAGGGACCGCCCCCCAACCCAGTGCACGAATTTTGTGCACCAGGCCTCTAGTAAATACAATAAAAAAGTAAGTGGGTTCTGTTTTTTATTGTTGACACTATTACAGATGTCTGTAACACCGTCTCCTTTTTACCCTCTTTGGGTTCTGTTTTGATCTGCAAGTCTTCCCATGTTCCTCCTCTTTTGTAGTGAGTGAATATACTCAGCCTGCCTCTCCTGTCTGACTGGGAACTCCCTGAGGATGGGCTCTGTATATCCCCCATCAGACTGCAATCTTCCCCTACGGCAAGAGCTGGGTCAGCCTGGGAATTCCCAGAGACCAACAACTGTACCCCCTATCCGACTGTACCCCCTCTTCCTCATCAGAAAGGAATCTTCCTGAGATGGGAACTATGTTTTCACCACTAAAGAAGGTCTCCCCCTGGGGGATGGGGCAGGAATTGTTTCTCCCCATCCAACTGAGGGTTCTTGAAGCAAATTTATGAGGGTGTCCCCACTTGGAAAAATTATTTATTACAATTTTTATTGTAATAAAAATACAATAAAAGTCACGTTTTCAAATAAAAAGAAAAGAACAATAATTTCTGTCCTGAACCCAGCAGTCTCTGGCTTTGTAAGTCATTGCCTACAGGGCTGCTTGCTGCTTGGAGCCTATTCAATCTTCTGCCATTTTCTCTCTCTGTGACCTTTGGGAAAATCAACCGCTCAGAGCCTCGATTTCCCCATCTGTAAAGTGGGGCAGGTATCCCTGTTATGGAGACAAGTCCACATTCTGCAAGGCACTGGGAGGGACTGAGGGGGGCGGCAGCGAGCTGTCCAAGGGACGTCATGGGTACTATAGGCCTGGCGCGGCGTGACACTTCCCCTCCGCAACACCAGAGGGCGATGTCGCGAGCTGCGGCACCACCCGCCCACAGGGGCGGCGCTCCTTCCCTCCCGCGTCTGTCTCCTCCACGTGGGGACGCAGGATGGCGGCGGCAGTGGCGGTGGGTGTGCGTAGATGGGGGCGGGGGCGCGCGACGGGCGCAGGTGCCCGGGGTCCGCGAGCCGGGAGGGAGGAGGGAGGCGGGAGGGGGGACCCTGCCCTCCCCGGCGCGTGGCTGACGCCCGCTGCGCTTGTTGTCGCAGGACGAGGCGGCGGCGCGCGACGTGCAGCGGCTGCTAGTGCAGTTCCAGGATGAGGGCGGGCAGCTGCTGGGCTCCCCGTTCGACGTGCCCGTGGACATCACCCCGGACAAACTGCAGCTCATCTGCAACGCGCTGCTGGCCCAGGTGAGCGGTAGGCGGCGCCTCCCGGGGCGCGCCCGCTGGGGATCAAAAGACCTAAGATCGGGGGCGCAAGAGCCCCACTCCTCGCCCACAGTGGGTGATGCACCCCGGCGCGAGTCCATGGGGTGCCACCCACCCCGGGGGAGGGTCAGAAAGATACATGGGCTTGAGAGCGACTACATGCCGACCAGACCTTGGCGGTCCACTTGCGGAGAGAGACTGGAAGGAATCGGGCACATCGCCACACCCCTCATTAATGCTCCTGATTTTACAGGGTAGCACGGAGGCATTGTGACTCGCACGATGCTACGTGGTAGATGGTAGTTTGGAATTGGGCTCCAAAGGTGTCAAACTCGAAACCCGTGCTCCTTTAAGGTCCAAGCCAGTGTTTTCAAAGTGTTGCCCTCGGTTGGGGTGGGAGGAGTTTAAACATGCAGGATTTGGACCCCACCCCAGACTTACTACACCTGACTCGGGGGAGAAGCAGTGCCTGCATTTCCAAGCAGCTTTTTGGATGCTTCTTACACAGTATACAGCGAGGTGGGTGGTTTGGAAAGCACTGCAGGATGGAGTATACTAATCCTGCACTTGAGTGTTCTCCTTAAAGAACACTAAAGAGTCCGAATTAGTCACTAGCAATAGGATGTTGGGCTAATTACGTAGTTGCTCGGAGCCTCAGGTTTTTTTTTCTTTTCCATCTTTCAAGTGGGACTATGAATGCCTACCTCCCAGAGTTGTTGTGGGATGCAGATAAAGGATTTTAAAGTGCTGTGTAAGCCTCCCACAGTAGTTCTTCAAGGATTAAGAAGGTCTAACGCAGTGGGGGACGATGGAGGCCTAACTCTAGCAGGGTGGCTGGAAAGAAGGAAGTTTCACTTCCCACAGCTCCGTGGGGAGCCTCCCAGGTGCAGGGGGCCCCTGCCTGCATTCGAAAGGAGCGTTGCCCTCTGCCTTGCCCTCCAGGAGGACCCCCTGCCTCTGGCTTTCTATGTCCACGATGCTGAGATCGTGTCCTCCCTGGGGAGGACGCTGGAGGCCCAGGCGGTGGAGACGGAGAAGGTCCTCGACATCATTTACCAGCCGCAGGCTATCTTCAAGGTCCGCGCTGTGACCCGCTGCACCAGCTCCTTGGAGGGTCACAGCGAGGCGGTCATTTCTGTGGCCTTCAGCCCCACCGGAAAGTAAGGACAGCTGCCGAGTTATAGAGGGGCGTGTCGGGGTGCAGCCTCTGGGTGGGGTGAGGAGGGGACCCCCAAGTGATGATCAGTGTGGCCTCAGGCGGCCTATCATAGACCCAAGCTCTGGGCTCAGGTTCCAAGTAGGGTTTCCCACGGGAGGTTTGGTCCACAAAGACCAAGGCCACCTGCCTGGGAGGGGCCATCCTGGACTTGATCTCAGGAGCTTTGACTGCACGCTCAGCTCTGCCCCTTCTGGCTGCGTGACCTGGGTAGGTCCCTTAACCTTTCTGGGTTCATTCTTCATCATCTGTGGAACTGGGTTTCTTTGTTCTCACGGTCCTGCGAGGACAGTGAGAAGCTTTAAATCTGGTTATAGCTGTGGCCGTTCCTTTTAGGAGGGAAGAGAAGCGAAATGACCTGTTGGGGTCTCCTCTCAGGTGGCAGCAGGGTTACGTTTCTCCTTTTCACGGGAGAGAAAAGCCCAGTCCCAGACTCTAGTCCCAGAAGACAGTTGCACGGGCAGCAGAAATGGGCAGTGCTTCGGGGTGGGCCCTGCCCCTGGGCCCCACTGTAGAGGTCTGGCCGCCTCTCTCTTCTCCAGGTACCTGGCCAGCGGCTCTGGAGACACCACTGTGCGCTTCTGGGACCTCAGCACCGAGACACCGCATTTCACGTGCCAGGGTCAGTATGCAGTTGGCCGTTTAGGGGTCTGACTGGGGGGCGGGTGACCCGCTCCAGCTCTTTAATTCCGGAGGAGGCAGGTTCCAGCTCCTTCATGTCCATGTAGTGATGACCTGTTCCTGAGCAGAGGCTGCCCCGCGAGCCTAGCCAGCCTCGTAAAAACAAGCAGACTAGATCCGTGGTCGGCGAACTGCGGCTCGCGAGCCACATGCGGCTCTTTGGCCCCTTGAGTGTGGCTCTTCCTAAGCCTTAGGAGTACCCTAGTTAAGTTAATAACAATGTACCTACCTATAGAGTTTAAGTTTAAAAAATGTGGCTCTCAAAAGAAATTTCAATCGTCCTGTTGATATTTGGCTCTGTTGACTAATGAGTTTGCCGACCACTGGTCTAGGCCAGAGAATAAGTGAGGGGTTGTGGGAAGGGGCTGACAGGCTAGGACCTGGCTTAAATCCGGCCTCTGCCATAGCGGTTCTCACACTTAAATGCTCATCGGAATCACCTACGTCAGCGGTTCTCAACCTATAGGTCGTGACCCCTTTGGTGGTCGAACGACCCTTTCACAGGGGTCGCCTAAGACCATCCTGCATCTCAGATATTTACATGACGATTCATAACAGTAGCAACATTACAGTTATGAAGTAGCAACGAAAATAATTTTATGGTTGGGTCACAACATGAGGAACTGTATTTAAAGGGCCAGAAAGTTGAGAACCACTGACCTAAGTGGTGCTGATGATGCTAGTCTGGGGACCACTTACTGGCTGGGCAAGGACCTTGTGTGCGTGGAGAGCGTACGCCCTTTTTAAGCTTCTGTTTTCTCTTCTGGAAAAGGGGGGTGATAATTCTTGCTTTGCCTCATACCTTAGTGCTATGGTGAGAATTTCAAGGGATGACACATATGAAAACACTTTATACCATGTGTCATGTAAGGAATTATTGGAAAGCGGCAGTGTTATCTGTACAGCAAGATGCATGGTTCTGGCACTTGGGGTGTATTTTCCTGCTGCCTAGGAAACCTTCTCTCTCCTTTTGTTCGATCGTTCACTTATGCAGCAACTAGTTTAGGAGTTCCTGCTATGTGCCAGGCATTGCTAGGAACTGGGGATAAGAACGGATGTCCCTCCTTTGTTCCTTCCCTTCTTTCTCAGGACACAGACACTGGGTCCTCAGCATATCCTGGTCCCCCGACGGCAAGAAGCTGGCCTCAGGCTGCAAGAATGGCCAGGTAGATGGTGGTCAGGGTAACTAGGCAGGGACTCAGGGGCTGCCTTCCTGGAGGTGCGTCACAGTCGGGTTCTGGGTCTTCAGGGAGGTGGGTGGGTGGGGCAGGGGAACCTTAGGGAGGCTTATTTTGTGAGCTTCTGTCTTTCAGATTCTCCTGTGGGACCCAAACACAGGGAAGCAGGTGGGCAGGACCCTCGCCGGCCATAGCAAGTGGATCACGGGCCTGAGCTGGGAGCCCCTCCATGTGTAAGTGACAGGGCTGGGGTAATGAGGAACGAGGGGCTCAAAGCTCTCCCCCTGCGCACTTGATGCAGAGAGGGCTGTTCATCACAGGGCCTGAGAGCCGCTTGCAGGTGCTGCTGAATCTTGGGGTCGAGAAGCTGTGCCCTGATCCTTGAATTGGGAATGGGGAGGCGCCATGGGAAGACCAGTGTTGCCAGGTCAGAAGTGAGGTCACATCTCCCTTCCCTCCCAGGAACCCCGAGTGCCGCTACGTGGCCAGCAGCTCCAAGGACGGCAGCGTGCGGGTTTGGGACACGACCTCGGGCCGCTGTGAGCGCATCCTCACCGGGCACACCCAGTCGGTCACCTGCCTTCGGTGGGGAGGAGACGGGCTGCTCTACTCTGCCTCGCAGGACCGCACCCTCAAAGTCTGGAGGGCTCACGATGTAAGAGCTGGGCGGGTTCAGAAGCCAGTCTGGGCTCTGAATCTCAGGCCGCGGGAAGCCAGCACCAGGGGAACATTGACCAGTGTCTCCTGAGCATGCTCTGAGAGCCAGGTCGAGGAGACCCTTGGGGATCACGGGGTCCTGTGGTTGGTGCTGCGCTGTAAGGGAGGTTCCAGTGTCCACTGGCGTAGGCAGGCTCTGGAAATTCCGGCGGTGAGAAGCCTATTGAGCCTGCCTTATTCCAACCTTACTTGACCAGAGTCTTTTCATTCTGACATACTAACTTCCTTCCATGAAACATATTTTCAGAAACATTGATCTGGGCTAGTGCTCTCGTTTTACAAACGAGGAGAGACTTGAGGCCATAAGGGTGGTTTGATGAAGATCACAGTGAATGAGGGTCCTGACTTTGAGTCCCCTGGGACTAATCTGGAGGTGCAGTTTCCCGAGGGTAGAGAGTGGTGTGTGCGTCTGACCTGTCTCATTCTCCCCTAGGGTGTGCTCTGCCGGACTCTGCAAGGCCACGGCCACTGGGTGAATACCATGGCCCTCAGCACGGACTATGCCCTGCGCACAGGGGCCTTTGAGCCAGCTGAGGCCTCGATTAACCCCCAAGACCTCCAGGGGTCCTGTGAGTGAGCGGGAGAAGGAGGGGAGAGAGCTGCTTGGTAAAGAGCCAGTTCTCTAGCTTAATGTGTGAGAGTTGAACCTAGGCGGGGGGTGTTTGCTGTTTATGTTGGATTTCTAATCAGCCTCACGCCTTACCTTCTCTCCCCTCTGGTACGTGGACACAGTGCAGGAGTTAAAGGAGAAGGCTCTGAGCCGGTATAACCTTGTGCGGGTGAGTATGTGCCAGCCGCTGGCACATGCACCTCTGTGCTCGTCTGTCTTAGTCCCTGCAGCGCTCTGCAGACGCTCGGCCCCTCTGCCTCTAGCCCCACCTCAGAAAGTACTTTTTCTGGAAAGTTGTTCTTGAAAATCCTAGTTTATACTTCTAAGGTCTTCACGTGCTAGGGATCACTTTATTTTATTTATTTGTTTCTCTATTCATTGCATTGCCAAGATGCCTCTCTTTTTTATTTTGTTTAGTTTAAGTAACACATTCACATGGCCAGAAGTTCAAAGAACACAAAAAGACAGATAGTGAAAAATCTCTCATCTCTGTTGCACATTCATCCGTGCCTTTTAGAAGCATGTAGTGCCACCAGAATCTTGTTTCTCCTTCCAGACTTCATATATACACACATGCATGTATATATGTACCCTGTATACAGTACGTGCTGCATAAGGACGTTTCCATCAACAACAGACCACATTGCGATGGTCCCATAGCATTATAGTGAAGCTGAAAAACTGTCGCCTAGTGATGTCACTGTCCCCACGTCCTCTCGCCGTGCATTGCTCGTGTGTGTGGTGATGCTGGTGTAAGCAAACCAATTGCACTGCCAGCCGTATAGAAGTACAGCATGTACAGTGCGGACAGTACCTAGTACTTGATAGTGATAATAAACAGCTGTTACTGGTTTACGTATTTACTGTATTATTGTTCTTAGAGTGTATTCTTTATACTTATAAGAAAATGTTGCTAAAAACTGTGCCATGTTCCAGCAACAGCCGCATTCGTATGTCTCATGTTTACCTTGTCTCTTGATTGCATCATTTTCTCTTGTGCTTGAGTTAATCTCGCGTTTTGTACAGTAACATGCTATACAGCAAGCATGTCAAACTCAAAGGCTAACACGGGCCAAATGAACTAGGTTAATGTGTGTAGCAGAAAAACAAAGCTTCAATTTTCATAGAAACATAGGATTATTTCGATAGAGACATGTTAAATACAAAGGGCTGAAATAAACAAGTAACCGTTAAAATAATAGGACATTTTAATAAAAATTAATGTTTTTTCTTGAACATTAACTTACCAGACACTAAATAACTGCACAAGTTAATTAGCGTAACACAAATACACCTATTTTTCTTGTTCTCCAAAAGCAAAATATTTCCTGTTGTGCACACCAGATAAGTCAGTCCAAGACTAATGACGTGGCCGTCGGCTGCTAAAATATTTGCTGCTAGTATCAGTGGAGAGAAAAGGTGTGCCTGCACATAAGGCTAATCAGTCATTAGCGAACGTTGTAGTTCGTTAATAATGATGTATAACAGGATACTGTAAAAATTTTTATTAAAAGGTTTCTTACATACCGTTATATTGACTGGGCCGCAAAAATATTCATTGTGGGTGGGCCGCGAGTTTGACATGCTTGTGGTACAGGCTCCTTGCCTGGCAGCAATAGGCTGCACCCTTTAGCCTAGGTGTGTGGTAGGCTATACCATCTAGGTCTGTGTAAGTGCACCCTGTGAAGTTCAAGCAATGGCAAAATTGCCTAACGACACATTTCTTAGAACATGTCCCCATCATTAAACAGCACAAACGCTTAATTCTTCCCCCTTTTTTTAAAAAATTTTTTTATTGATTTCAGAGAGGGAGAAAGATAGAAACATCAATGATGAGAGGGAATCATTGATCAGCTGCCTCCCGCACGCCCCCTACTGGGGATCAAGCCCGCAACCCAGGCATGTGCCCTTGGCTGGAATCGAACCCAGGACCCTTCAGTCCACAGGCCGACGCTCTATCCGCTGAGCCAAACCAGCAAGGGCATTTCTTCCCCTTTTTTAACGCACCACTCTGTACCTGGCTTTTTCATGGAATTACATATCTTAGAAATTGTCTTATGTTCGTAAAGTTCTTTTCGGGGTTTGCGGGGAGTAACTCCTATGAGTTGGCAGCTGGCCCCAGCCTCACTGCTCTGGGTCCCGGCCGCCGTGTGCTGGGGTTGAGTAATCAGTAGCGTGTTTGTTGCTGAGGTCGCAGTCTCCCGTCAGATCGTGTTTACCACTGTCTTTCCGCCTCCCCCAGGGCCAGGGCCCAGAGAGGCTGGTGTCTGGCTCAGACGACTTCACCTTATTCCTGTGGTCCCCAGCAGAGGACAAGAAGCCCCTCGCACGGATGACGGGACACCAGGCCCTCATCAACCAGGTGCTCTTCTCCCCCGACTCCCGCGTGGTCGCCAGCGCCTCCTTCGACAAGTCCGTCAAGCTGTGGGACGGCAGGACGGGCAAGTGAGTGGAGGTGTGGGGGGGGAGAAGGACCTGTTGCTCTGGAAGGACCTGGTACTGCCACTGGCTGGTTGTGTGGCGAGTGTCTGGATTTCCTGAGCCTCCGTTTCCTCCTCTTTAATAAGAAGCCACCTGACCCGTCAGCCTTGTTACAAGGTTTGAATGAGATGGTGTATGTAGCAGCAGCGTTAAGTAGGCCCTGAAAACGCTGGTTCATCCCACATCTAAGGAGAGAAATGATCTTAACACTGGCCTTCCTCAAAGTGTGGTCCAGAGACTAGTGGCAGCAGTAACATCTGGGAATTTGATAGAAATTCAGAATCTCGGGATCTTACCGATCAGAATTTTAAATTAATTTTCCAGTTATATTTGGCATACAGTATGAGATTCATTTCAGGTGTACAGCACTATGATTAGACATTTAGATACCTTACGAGGTAACCATCCAGTACGTCTAGTACCCACCTGACGCCATACGTGGTTATTACAATATTATTGACTACGTTCCCGTTACTGTACTTTACATCCCCACGACTGTTTTGTAAATCAATTTGTTCTCTCTCTGAGTTTGTTTTGTTTGTTCATTTATTTTGTTTTTTAAATCCCACATGTAAGTGAAATCATATGGTATTTGTCTCTCTCTGACTTATTTCACTTAGCATAATACCCTTTAGGTCCATCCATGTTGTCACAAATGTCAAGATTCCATTCTTTTTTATGGCTGAGTAATATCCCATTTTCTAACCTGTTTTCTATCAATGGATATTTAAGTTGTTTCCATATCTTGGCTATTGTAACTAATGCTGCAGTGAGCATGGAGATGCATATATCTTTTAGAATTAGTGTTTTGGATTTCTTGGGATAAAAACCCAGAAGTAGAAATACTGGGTCATATGGCAGTTTTCTTTGTAGTTGTTTGAAGAGCCTTCATACTGTTTTCTGTAGCGGCTGAACCAATTTACATTCCCACCAGCACTGCATGAGAGTTCCCTTTTCTCCACATCCTCACCACGCTTGTTTGTTGATTTATTGATGGTCGCCACCGCATCTGCATTTTAATAAGGCCACCAAGTGATTCTGCTTGTCGCTAAGTCTGAGCAGCACCGTGTAATGAGGCACAGTGCCCTTGGGGTTAATTAGTTTGGAGGAGAGGCAAGGGCATGGGCAGGAAGGAGCAAAGAAACCCTTGGCACCTGTGTGTCAGTTGTGTATTTTTATACAGCAACCCTTTGAAATAGGCCGTTCAGTGCCTTTTTCAGGTAGGAAACTGAGTTTCAGAGATGCCTAATAACTTGTCCCAATAGACACAGTTAGTCTGAAAGTTCCAGGTGGGCCTGGCCCAGTTTTACTCCGTGCCACCTATCAGCAAGCAACTGTCATATTGGGGGGGTGTCAGGCAGATGAGCTAAGCAGATGGCGGCATTGGATTCTAAGGCATGCAAAGTCGAGTGGGTATGGAGCCCTGGCAAGAGGCACCCTAGAAGCAGCTCATTTGGAGAAGTTTTAAAAACACATAATGGGCAGTAATGATTAAATTGGCCTGGGGTGGGGCCAGGCAGTGGGATTTTGTAAAAGTTCCCAGGTAATTCTAACATGCTGCCAAGGTTGAAAACTATGGCTGTGGGCATCCAGGACCCTTCAGACGTACTTGATGATCTAATCTGCATCATCATCTTCTTCCCTTGGCCCAGGTACCTGGCTTCCCTGCGTGGCCATGTGGCTGCCGTGTACCAGATTGCGTGGTCAGCCGACAGCCGGCTCCTGGTCAGTGGCAGCAGTGACAGCACATTGAAGGTGTGGGACGTGAAGGCCCAGAAGCTGGCCACAGACCTGCCAGGCCATGCGGATGAGGTACAGCCCATCCTGTGGGTATGCAACGGAAGCCTGGCCCTCCTCCTCCACCCTCCTCACTGGCCCGCTTTCCTTCCTCCTCGGTTTAGGTATATGCTGTCGACTGGAGTCCAGATGGCCAGAGAGTGGCAAGTGGTGGGAAGGACAAATGCCTCCGGATGTGAGTTGGGGGAAGTGGTGGTGGGTGTGCTGGGCTTTGCTGTCACTCTGTGACTTTCCCTTCTGGTGTAGAATTTGGAGGGTTTGCCAGGTTCCCAGGACGGGGCATTGCAGGGATTATGGGAAATGCTGACAGTTCCGAGGCTGCTCTGTGGAGGGCGTAAGGGGGTGGGGAGTAGGGGGTCCAGGGTCGCTCCAGCACGAGGCAATAGTTCTTTGTGAGCGCTGGACTTGGGAGTCTTCAGACCTAGCTCAAATCCTGGTTCTCCCTTCAATGTGCAGTCTGAGAGCTTGGCTGACCTGTCTCTTGGGGGTTATCTAACTTGAGCAGACAAGAAGATCAAAGGTAGGCGGTGAGCACACCCTGGAACCAGAAGCTTCGTGTGCTTGTGAAGGAACATTACTGTCATTGGACAGCTTGCTGGGCACCCCAGGGGCCGGGTCTGGTCTGAGGCCCTGGTGAGGCAGGCGGCAGATGCCCAGCCTGAGTGAGGCTGAGACGGTAGCCAGGCTCTGGATGGCTGAGGGGAAACCACAGGTCCTCCTTGTGGCGGGCTCCTGGGATTACATGGCAGCCTCCCTTTCCTGCGGTCACTCCCCATCTGTCCCCTCCCCTCTCCACAGATGGAGGAGATGACCCCCACCTGGACTTGGCCTGTGCCAGCTGCCTGCCCTGACAGAGACTAGAGGCCGGGTGGTGACCCGGAGAACAAGTGTGGCCTGCTGTCCTTGCACAGACCCTAGAGCAGATCGGAGGTCACAGGTGGTTACCGCAGAGCTCAGCCCTTGGCCGTCACTCTGTACCTTCCTGGTACCATCAGGGGTGACAGGAGGCCAGGCGACGACTAGACCCTGCTGCTGCCCCTGCCTCCTTTCCCTGCTGTCAGCTCTGTTCAGAGTCAGACCCCAGATTCTGTGACCAAATAAATAATTTATATTTTGTGTGTTTGGGTTAGAATCCCTTGTCGAGAATCCCCAGGCTCAGCCAACGTCTGTGCTAAGTCCGTTTGTCTAGCCTCCTCTGCACTGGGCCGGAAGCCACCTTTCCTCTCTCCCTACCCCCTTGTGCCTGTCAGGGAGAGGCCGGCTGAGGCTGGGCAGGCTGGCTGAAACCCGTGATCGTGGCCAGAGTTTAAGCCAAGGCTGAGCTGTCTGATGAGTATGCACGAACCACATGTGGCTATTTCCATTAACTAGCATCCCTGCAGTTAGAGATGCTGTTCTCAGTCGCTCCAGCTCCAGGCTGCTGAGTGTATTGGACAGCACTGTCGCCATCACGGAGTTCTGCTGGCCAGTGCTGGTCTGCGGGGCGCCTCCCTCAGCCCCTCACCAGCACACTTGCCGAGGCCTTGCCATCCCCGAGCACTGTGCCCGGCTCTCGGGATACAGACAGGTGACGGCTGTCCCGGAGGGTTCTCTAGTGGGGCATGCAATGGTGAGAGCTCCGGCAGAAGTGGGCGAAGTGTGTTAGGGGAGGATGGTTCTCTGTCCCCTGAGGACTTCAGGTATGAAGGGACCCCACAGACTCTTGACCAAGATCTGGCCCTCCATGCATCCTGCCTCCCCTTTCTCCTGTTCCAGCGCTGCGGCAGATTGCTGAGGTTGAACTTCTAAACCATCCTTGTATGTACTGCTCAAGGCCACAGCAGTGGCCTTTCTAATCTCGTGTTCCCTCACCTGCCCCCACCCTCTTCTGTGCTTCTATATATCCCTCATAGTAGCCCTGCAGCTGGTCTCGTGTGTGTGTGTGTGTGTGTGTGTGTGTGTGTGTTAATCTTCACCCGAGGATATTTTCTCCATTGATTTTTTTACCCCCTAGAGGCTGGGGGAGGGTTGGAAAGGGGGGTGCGCTGGAGAGAAACATCAATTGGTTGCTTCCCGCACGTGCCCTGACCAGGGCTGGGGATCAAACCTGCAGCTGAGGTATGTGCCCTTGACCGGGAATTGAACTCAAGTCCCTTTGGTCCACAGGCCAACGCTCTAACCACTGGGAAAAACGGGCCAGGGCACGGCCCTGTATTTTTTTATAAGGAAACAGCCCAGGAAGCTTAAATGGCTTGCCCATGCCCTCACATCCAAGAAGAGCCAGAATTAAATCTGGCACTGCCCCAAAGATTGTGTAATTTGCACCATGTCCCTCCAGAGCTCGTCTGATGCTGATGGTGTGCAGACTGCCGCCACCTCTGCCCAACGTTGCTGTTTTTCCTGGCGTGTGTTTTAGTCTGCGTGCCGGTCTCTTCTTCCCATGGGGAAGAAAGAGGGTGGTGCTGGCAGAGCCGGGCAGGAGGAGGTGGTGGCTGTGCACAGCATGAAGCAGAATGGAGAGGTGCTGAGTGACCTGCAGTTCTTTAATGAGGGATCTGGACTTAGCCTGGATCTGGGGAGGGGGTGCCTGCAGCTGTGGGCAGTGGCTGACCTGGCCTGCAGTGCCCTGGAACCCTCTCCCTTAGTAGGGAAATAGGTTTTCCAGATCTTCCAGCCTCCGCATCTCAGCCTGCCTCATGGTCACTGTTTTCCTCTGTGATTGCTTGCGCCGCACGGTGATCTGGATGGGGTTGTTCTCCGGGAAGCTGGTCAGGTCGTTGGCCACGGTTGCAAACTGAAATCACACAAGAGAACGCCTCAGACTTCCTCCCCAGACCTGACCTCTCTCTTTGCCACCCCAGGTTTGTTTGTTAAATGGGATCTTAGGTAGCATCACCAACCTGCCTATCAACACCAGAAACAGGTACAAGGAGGCATGATTCAAACCTGTGATATTTCCAACCACAGGCCTGTGGACTCGGGCCTCTCCCTGACTCCATGCCCCTACCCACCCCCAGGCTGCTCCCTTCTTGGTCCCCCTTCAGCCCAGCCTCTGTCCTGGATCTGTCAATGCCCTTGACTTCCTGACCCATTCACAATTGTTGGTACCGAGTTGAAAGATGAACGTGATAGTGATGCTGCTGAGAACATTAGTTTGCATTCCCAGTGGGCACCAGAAGTGGCTTAATCCTCAAGCCTCCCAGAAGAGAGCAACTCGGAGGTGAAGTGTATTTGTGCAGGTAGAAGGAAAGCAAGCAGGGAGATGTCGTGGGGGTATGGGGTGTCCCCAACCTCCAAAGCCCCTGGTGTAGACCTCTCCCTAACCCCGGGGGCCCCCATCTTTCAGGGCTCACTTTGTAGGGCTTGCACCACTTCCCCGCCCCGGCTGTGTTGACGGCACGGACGATGAGGCAGTAACTTGTGTTAGGCTTCAGCTCCATCAGCTTGACAGTGGTACCCAAGATCTTGTGGAAGATCCACGGGCAGTTCTTTGTCTTGGGAAACTCACTGTCCTTTTTCTTGGCCATCTCCTGCAACAGGACCTGGTAGAAACTGACCGGCTGCCTGCTCATGGCATAGGTCCAGGAAATCTAGTGGGGAAGAGAGCCCCAAAGCTTCCTCAGAGCTGGCCCGGGCTGTCCTCCCATCATCCCGACTCGCACCACCCACCCCCACATGGGTGGGAATGCCCCTCTTCCATCCCCTGTTCCTGCTGGAGCTGAGGCAAGTCTGATGGCAGGGTCAAGGTGCGCCAACTGGATATGGAACCACCAGCGTGAAGCATTTGCGGCTCTCCCTGCACAGCCCCACCCACCTTGGAGTGTGCCTTCATTCCATTTCTTCTAGACCAGCGCTTTTTCAACCAGTGGGCCCCAAGAATTGTTAAAACGTGCAATACCTGACACTAAATAGTCAACCGGTACTGCGGCACATGCATGTTTTGAACATTCTTGCAGCACATCAGGGTGGAGAATCGCTGTTCTAGACACGTCAGTTGAGAGGGGCCTTAAGAGATGGTCTTGTCCACGTCACTCATTGCATATGGGGTTAAAGGTTCAGAGGGCAAGTGGCTGGCCGGCCCATGGTCACATAGCAATTATGTGACAGGGATCAAACCAGTAGCTCCAGAGCCCATGTGCTTTGTACTCCAGCAGTGGTTGCCAAGCAAGCCTGACGAAGGACCCCAGGGAGTTTCCATAACACTGCAGATCCCTGGCCTGCTGTCTCCTGGCCGCCCTCCCATTTACAGTTTCTCCCCTGTCTAGGCTGAGTAGTTCTCAAACTGGTGTGCCTGAGAATACCCCAGGGGACTTTTTAAGACAGATTGCTGCTCCCTGCCCTGACAGTCTGATTCAGTCGGATGGGACGGGGAGTGAGACTTAAATTTGTAACTAGCTGCCAGGTGATGCTGGCCCTGCTGGTGGTCTGGGAACCACACTTGTGAGAAATGCTGCTCTAGGCTTTCCAACAATGGAGCTTCTAGATTTATCTTCCTAAAACACAGCTCAGGTTGCTCCCATCACCAGAAACCAAGCTCTGCAAAAAGCTACTCTCTATTGCTTACAGAAAAGTCTGAAGTAGCCTGACTTCAGAGGACTTCTGGAAAATGACCCCAGGCTAACTTTCCCCATCTATTCCGCTAGGACTGCGCTTCCCCACCTAGGGTCCGGGGCCGTTAGCATCACCTGGGAATTTGTTAGATTCTCAGCCCCCACCCCCAGGTCTACTGAATCAACCAGATGAGGTCCAGAATCTTGTTTTCAGCAAGATGGTCAGATCTGCAGGCACAGCAAAGTGTGCATTGGGGCCTGGGTGTTTTCTCCCCCACTTTCCCACTGATGACCCTTGGCTAGTGTCAGCCCCTCCAGGCAATGGCTTTCCCCCATCTCTAGACGTTTAAACCCTACCTCTACCCCAGCTCCAGTGTTCCCAAGAGCTAATTCCTGCACCTGGAAGTAATGTGTCTTTCCCTCTGACTTCCTGGTGGGCTTGATCTGAACTCTTCCTACAGCAATGAGCCCTTTCTAGCTTGCACAGAGTTCCTTACAAACATGCCCTCTCTCCTAACCTATGAACTCGAGGTCAGGATGCAGGCGTTAGGCATCTTCACACACCCCCAGAGCTCAGCTCAGTGCCTGGCACATTGGCGATAGACAGTAAGTGCCTGGCACATTGGGGGTAGACAGTAAGTGCCTGGCACGTTGGGGATAGACAGTAAGCCTTTGCCAAATGAATGAGGAAGAAAACGCACCACGGCTGTGTAATCGCTGACTGTGTGTTCACAGATAAAGGGCGTCTCTGGCACGTCCGTGACCACGGAGGACTTGGAGGACGTCGAGGAGGTGTCTGTGTCCAGCTCAGGGTTGTCAAGGTCCAGCAGGCCCTCGGGGGCTATTTGGGACTTAGTTGGACGGGGGCAGAAGGCCAGGTCCTCCTTTTCTGGATTCTTGGCCACCGAGGTGATGCTGAGCTTGTTCAGCTCGCCTTCCAGCAACCCTGCAAAGAAGCTGCTGTTGGGCTGGGTTACGGCCAGTTTGATGGGATTCAACAAGGAAGATGAGACGGGGGAGAGGCTGGTGTCATCGGAGCTGCATTCAGATTCCTCCCCTGGCATCGCCTTCCTGGAGTGCGAGGGGAGACAGGTGAGCACCCAGCCAGCCCAGGCAGCCTGGACGCTCCCGGAGGCCAGGCCTGGGGCCTGACGTACAAGGGTCCCAGCTGCTTCTGAACAGCTCAGAACATCCTCACTGCGGTGCAGCAGTGCATCTACCCACCGGGGCACAATGCCAAGTGCAGATTCCTGGTCCCTGGTTGGGATGGAACTGGGGAAACTGCTAAAGTTAATAGGATCCTCAGACGATTCTGATGCAGGTGTTCTGAGAACCACAATTTGAGAAACTGCTAAAACTTTAAGGCTTCCCTGCACAGTAGGGTCCAAAGTCCCAGGGTAGGACCACAATGATCTATTGAGGGATGGAAAAGTTGGAAAAATATCTAAAAAATAAATAAATTAGGCTTTACTAATATGTAGTCACTAATATGTAATGTAGTTACTAATTTATTTAGAATTTATAATATTTAACAATATATAGCATGTAAAATTAACAAATACACATATATTGGGATGAATGCTCAAAAACTTTTTTCTTCCATTCTAATTTTTTAAAATCATGACCTATTTTAGATATAGCCAAAGACAGCAAGAATAATATATTAGCCTGGCAAGTGTGGCTCAGTAGTTGAGCATCGACCTCTGAACCAGGAGGTCACGGTGCGATTCCTGGTCAGGGCACATGCCTGGGTTGTGGGCTCAATTCCCAGTGTGGGGTGTGCAGGAGGCAGCTGATCAATGGTTCTCTCATCATTGATGTTTCTCTCTCTCTCTGAAAGCAATAAGAAATAATATATTACTATAATATATTAAACCTATGTGATCATGTCAACTAGTGTCACCCCAATAAATTTAACTTTAACAAAATAATATATTAAGCTTTTATTTAGCCGCCATCCAGCTTCAGAACTAAAGCCTCATCAGTATAGTTGAAGCCCACTGGAGTCTTCTCTCCCCACCTTACTCAGAGATAACCAGTCCAGTAAATTTAAAATTTTTGTGTTTATTATTCCTCGTGTGTTGTTACATATGTATGTTATCCCTAAGCAAGATATATTTTGCATATTTTTAAATATGTTTTTATTGATTTCAGAGAGGGGAAGGGAGAGAGAGAAACATCAATGATGAGAGAAAATCATCAGTTGGCTGCCTCCTGCACGCCCCACACTAGGGATTGAACCTACAACCTAGGCATGTGCCCTGACTGGGAATTGAACCATGATCTGGTTCATAGTCAGTGCTCAACCACTGAGCAACACCATCCAGGACATATTTCTAAACTTTACATAAATAAGTGGTATCATTCAGTATATATCCATCAGCAGTTTGCTTTTTCACTCAGCATTCTGTTTGTTTGTTTTTTTCCTATTCATCTGTATTACACAATAGCTCTGGTTTAATCATTTTAACTGTTCTTTGGTTTTTCATTACAGGCATATCTGTATTGTTACTAATTATTTGCTATTAAAAAGGAAAACCTTGTACAGGTTTCCACTATTTAAATATTTTTTTACCAATGAAGTGCAGAACTCCCCCCGCCCCACAAAAAAATTGGTTTTCATATCTTTTTTTAAATCTACCTTTACCCAAAGTAAGGAATACATATTACATGGCAACCTAGTATACTCATACATACACATAACACTAAAGCACACTGCACAAACCAGTTCTTCCTCTATGTGTGATGTGCTCTGGAACTTGTTATTCTGTTTAATTTCATTTTTATGATACTGGTCTCCACCAACTAGAATGAGTTCCTGACCCATCGATGGGTCACAACCCCCAGTTTGAAGAGCACTTGTCTAAGAAAAGCAGTCAGGGTCACACGGTGAGTTGATGGAAGGCTTGGAACTAGAACCCAGATCCCCTGGGCCCCAGGCCTGCCCGATGCTATGCGATTCCCATCTGCCCCTGGCACTTTCTGCCTCATCTCCTCTGCTTCCTACCCCATCTCCCTCAGCTGCTCTGGCCAAGTCAGCAACCAACACACTCCCCTGGGTCCCTTACACCAGGGCTTCATGGTTGACTGATGGACTAAATATTTCCTTCCTGAGCTCCAGCTCCATTGACCTCCTCCTAAGAGACCCTGATCAGCCCAAACCTGTGTTAGCCCATCTGTGGTGGACATTTGGAATAGATGATTCCCCCACCAAGGTCATTGTAGGTGGAAGAGTCTGAGTAGTGATGCCATTTATACTTCAGGTTGTCCTAATGGATCTGTTTCAGACTTACTTTGTCAAAAGACCAGTGCGGATGTGGGCAGGGAAGGCAGCTAGCCCGGGCTGTATGCTGCACATGCTCTCTTCTGGTATTTACAATAGCCCTGCTGGATGAGTGTTAGCCCCAATTTTCAGATGAGGGAGTAATCTTATCACAGCCATATACCTAAGTAGTCAAACTTGGATTTGAACTTAGACTCATAGCCCTAGGTCTTCCCACTAGAGCATGAAGTTTCCTATAAGCATCCATCACTTTTAGCCATACCTGCTACATGCAGGCTTCTTAGGAGATGGACACCATATCCCTTTCCTATAATCAGGACCAGCTACATAGTTTGTGGGTCCCTTAACAAATTATTAAGAATATCAAGAGAATAACAGCAAAACATTCAACTAAGTGCAGGGCCCTTCTAAATGTGGGGCTGTGCGGGACTATAAAGGTCACACACACTGAAACCGCCCTGCAGATAACTTCTCAGGCCACCCCTTCACTACTATCATGTCAACACTACTACCACCCTTCCCGGCTCTCTCCTTCCCTTCCTAGACATTCAGCTCACATATCACTTCCTCCAAGAAGCCTCCCTTAACTGTATCCTCTCCCGAGCTATACTAAGCCGCCTCCATTTTCCCAAGGTGTCCGGTCATAGCACAGACCATGCTGTATTATTCTTGATTCTTCACACACACACACACACACACACACACACACACACACCCCAGGCTGGGAGCTTCTTGAATCCTGGGTCAGACACCTTAGAGGAACTCAAAGAGTTTTGTGGAATGAAGTAAAGGGAACCCAGAACCATCAAGGAGAAGCAGTTAACCTCAGTCTGAAGACAGACAGGTTATTGGGGGGCCATAATCAGGAAGGGGAAGGCACCAAAAGGGACGATTGAGAGAGGGGAGCCATGGAAGAGTGGAAGGGGCAGGGGTGTCTGGGGGGTGGGGGGAGGACCCTAACTAGACTAAGGGGCTAAGGAGCACTGTCAACCAATCTCTGACTAATCCCAGAAGGCCTCCTGGAGTAGGAGGCCTACATGTGTCTAAGAACTGACATGGGCCCAGAAATCCATGGTGCAGCCTGCACACATGCTGTCCCCTGGGAGTCCAGGGCCCAGGTTGTGACAGGTCCAGGAAGTACCTCTTCTTCAAGCCTCTCCCACCCACAGCTCCAGCCTTAGCAAGGAGGGCAGAACCCGGCGTGTGTCTTACGGTAGATTGGGAAGGTTGATGGTATCTTCCTTCTTGAATGTAATCAAACTGTCCCTTGAGGAAAGAGGGAGTCCTTTGGTGGCAACCGTCCTGTTCATAGTTTGGGCGTTTGGAAAGGGCTTCGGCATTTGATTCAAAATGAGAGCCTCCTTTTTCGTCATGTTCTCCTCCCCATCTCCCACTTTACAGAACACCTCTGATGCCATCGGGTTCGTTTGGGACCACAGCCGACAACCAAGCTGACAGGAAGTAGAGAGAAACTGGGGGCAGGGGACCCAGCCTTAGTTTGGCTGGGATGGAGGTGCAATGAGCTGACTTCATAATCATCGCAGAGTGTAACAATTAGGGGACAGCCTCCCCCTTGATCTGAGGCTGCTGCTACCCAGGGCCAGGGCCAGGGCCTGGAGCAAGGTAGAGCCAAGGAACAGACTGCATCCCCCTTCCAGCTCCAATGTTCGGTGGCTCAGCAGCACTGGCCTTCTGCAAAGATCTCAAAGGCTCCCCACCTATGAGGCCCTTTGGAGCTGCCCTGGGAAGGAGGAGAACGGTGGTAGGAGAAAGGCACCCTGGCATGGAGAGAGGAGACGCTGGAACGGGTCTTTGGGGCTGGGGGACTGTGGAATGCTGAGGTACCATGTCCAGAAATTCTAGGCAGCAAACCCTCACTGTGTCCAATCTGTAGGCAGAGAGAAAACAGAGATGGTCCATGGGATTCATGGCTCCCATATACCCGGGTTTTACTGCTAGAATTCTAAACATGTCACATGGGTGCTCCTGGGTTGAGTGACAGTGGAGGATGCTGCCGAGGGATACAGAGATGGACCAGACGTTATTTCTGTTCTCAAGGAAACCACTCCCGTAGGAAAACATGCGCGCAACTCCGGGGATGGGAGAGAAGCTGTTAAAGCAGCACAGGCTCTGCACTTAGAGGTGAATTTGTCGCTCTCAGTCCAGGCCTGCCCTTACAGGCTCAGTCATCTTTGGCCCCTGACTTCACCTCCCCAGCCTCAGTTTCCTCATCTGAGAACTAGGGGTAAAAATAGCACCTATCTCACTGGGTTATGAGGAGATAACCCTGTAAGGTTGTTTTGTTTCTTCCAGAGGATGAGGCAAAAGCAAAGGACATTCAAAATAACAAATCCTATGTTCTGTGTTTTATGTACTCAGGGTTTTTGTTATTTTTTTCCAAATGGTATTTATAAAACAACGTTCAATACAGAGAAGCTGCCCTGGCGGGTGTGGCTCAGTTGCATGGGTGCTATCCCCGAGCACCGAAAGGTTGCGGGGTCCATTCCTGGTCAGGGCACATACCTGGGCTGCAGTTTGATCCCTGGTCAGGGAGTGTACGGAAGGCAACCAGTGTTTTCCTCTCACACTGATGTTTCTCTCTCTCCCTCCCTTTCTCTCTAAAAATAAATTAAGTACAGAGACTCGGGTGTCGTCTGTGTCCTCTGCTGTTTCTTAGCACTCAGCAATATCCTACCTGGTTGATTTCATTCCTCCTCACTGTCTTGCCCCCACTAACAGGTAGGGCCCCTGAGCACAGGGACTGGGGGGACCTTCTGGCCTAGCGTTTAGAACAGAGGTACATGGGTGGGTCTGCGTGCGTGTTCGGGGAAGGGGGGAGAGGCGAATGTGGGTGCCCAAGTGTGCACGGGGCTTTGGGGGCAGGAGCCTGTGTGGCCGGCGCGCCGCGGGAGATTGCATTATTTTGTGACTCCTTCCTGGGAAGCTCAACATATCACTAATCTGAAAAAAAAAAAAGCAAATAACATTTATTAAGCTTCTTCTGGGTTCCAGGCTTGATGCCTTGGGCAGTGCATGCAGCCCCGCGCCCTGCAGACCTGGGCGAGGGCCGGCCCTCCCTCCTCTGCTCCCCACCCTTCGGGGGAGCCAGGCCTCCAACGGGGCGGAGCCCTTGCTGTGTGCCCGGCCCCAGGCCCGGGCCTGCGGCCCTGTGGGTTCCCCAGGCTCCCTAAGATAGGCTGCCTCAAGGGAGCCCTGTCACCCCACTTTGCAGATGGGTAAAAGCCAAGCATGGGCAGCCCCGCCCTTCGTGCCGATCAACCACACGTGTTTTGCTTTCAGTGGTGGACCTGGCTTCCGCAGACCTGGAAGAGGTCGCGCAGAAGTGTGGCTTGTCTTACAAGGTGAGCTGACGACCTCCTTCCAAACCTGGGTGCCTCCAACTGTCTGTCCCTGAGCCAAGGGAGCGAGCACAGGGTGCTCGGAGGTTCATGAGGAGGGGACGGGGACCTGCGGGGCTCTGGGGTGCCCCCTCCCTTGCCTGGTCGTTGCTCCTTGCTGGGGTTCAAGTGCCCCGCCCATCCTGAGTTGCCCCGCCCCTTCGGCAGGCCTTGGTTGCCCTGAGGCGGGTGCTGCTGGCTCAGTTCTCAGCCTTCCCCTGCAATGGCGCCGATCTCTAGGAGGAACTGAAGACCGCCACTGCCATCCTGTCCACTGGCATTGGAAGGTGTGTATGTGCCCGTGGGGAAGGGGGTGAGAGCCGGAGGCTATGGATATTTCCGGCTTGGTTCTTGATGCTTGAGTCTCTAGAGGAAGCATGTCAAACTCGCGGCCCATGGGCCACATGCTTCGTTTATTTGGCCTGTGTTAGTTAGCCTTTGAGTTTGACATGCTTGGTCTAGAGACTCAAGCATCAAGAGCCAAGCCGGAAATACCCCAGGGGTGAGGGCAGCAGGGACTGATGGTCAGGGCTTCTGAGTTCTTACCTTATAGCAGGGCTTCTCGACCTCATACTCCTGACTTTGGTTTGGTGCATCATTAGTTGGGGGCGTGGGGGCGTGGGGAGAGGATATCTGGTGAGCTGGAAGATGTGTGGCGGAATTCCTCACCTCTGTCCACTAGGTGCTAGTAGCACCTCCCTTCTCCCCAAATTGTGCAAACAGAAATGTCTCCAGAGCTCTGGCAGGTGTGACTCGGTTGGTTGGAGTGTCCTCCTGTACACCAAAAGGTGGTGGGTTCTATTCCCTGTCAGGCACATAACCAGATTGAGGTTCCATCCCTGGTCAGGGCGTGCGGGAGGCCAACATTTGATGTTTCTCTCTAACTGTTAGAGAGATATTAGAGTCTAACATCTATGTTTTACTCGCTCTCTTTTTCTCTCTCTCCCTTCCTCTCTATCAAATCACTTTTTAAAAATGTCTCCAGACATTGCCAAATGACCCCCGAGAAACAAAATTGCCCCTGATTGATCACCACTGTCTTATGACACAAGATGTCAGTATTTCATTATTATTCAGCAGATTCAGAGCAACTCTTCTTCGGCCCTACGTCATATTCACTTAAGAATAAGACAAGAAAGAACATACAGGAACCAACATTTATTGAGTGCCTACTATGTGCCAGCCAAACCAGCTGGGGCTGTAATTCATTCTTTCAAGAATATTTATTGAGTGCTTACTTTAAACATGCCAGAGCCCAAGCCTCCACAGACAATTTAATCAAACTCTCTGGGGGCGAGACCTCGGCATCAGTATTTTTTGGAGCTCCCAGGCATCTCCAGGGTGCAGGCAAGTTTGGGAACCGCTAATACTTGCCTCTTAAAACACACACATGTTTTCATTGATTTTAGAGAGAGGAAGGGAGAGGGAGAGAGAGAGATAGAAAAATGGATCAGCTGCCTTCTGCACACCCCCAACTTGGGATCAAGCCCAAAACCAGGGCATGTGCCCAGAGCGGGAATTGAACCGGTGACTCCTGGTGCGTGGGATAACGCTCAAGCAACTAAGCCACACCAGCCGGGCAATACCTGCCTCTTTTTAAAACTCCTTTGGTGCCCTGGCAGGTGTGGCTCAGTTGGGGGCCACAGCTGGAGAAGCACTGCTGTGATGGGACTGGGGTTCTCTGGTCTCAGTGGGAGGAATGGGATCCAGGAATTGCAGAGCTGGACGACTTTTTAAACAGAGGCAGGGACAGCTGTCCTAAGATGCTGCAAGGCTGCAGTGTTCTGACTGGCAGGGGCCTGTGGCTATAATCACAGGTCCCTGGAACTGAAATAGATGGGGTGCTTACTGAGGTGCTACTTGGCATGTACAGAGGGGTCATGGGAGGTCACGGAACTATTTCCGAGGATGGCACCTGTGAAGGTGATTGTAGGGTGAGCGGAAGGATGCTTGTGGTCAGGACCCGGCGGCATTGGGATGGGCTCTGCTGTAGGAGAATCTTCAGCCAGTAGGTTGGGCAGGACATGGAGGGTGGTTAGTGACCTGTTTCATGGTGGTTCAAGGACAGAACTCGGATTAGGAATTGGCCGGGTCTTGAGTTTTATCCCAAGGCTTCCACAGCCGGGGTTCCAATAATAATAGGACTAAATAGCATGTTCTACAGCTTATTTCTCTGGGGCCATTTATTGTGGCAGTGTTGTGCCAGTGTTGCACAGTGCCTGGATGTAATACTGAACAAGGGCCAGTCCTTGCCCCAGGGTGCTCTGGGCCACATGGGAAAGACAGACAAAAACAAGTAAATAGAAAATAATTCCAAACCCCTAGAACTAATATGTGAATACAGCAAGGTTGCAGGATATAAGAGTAACACATAAAAATCAATTGCATTTCTATATACTCAAAATGAACATGTGGAAATGGAAGTTAAAAACACAATACTGTTTAAAATTGCTTCCAAGAAAATGAAATATTTAGGTCTATCTCCAACAAAACAGATATAAGATCGGTATACTGAAAATTAAAAATTGCTGATGAGCCCTGGCCAGTTGGTTTAGTTGGTTAGAGCATCGTCCCAATGCACCAAGGTTGTGGGTTCGATCCTTAGTCAGGGCACATACCGGAATCAACCAGTGAATACAAAAATTAGAGGCACAGCAAATTGATGTTTTTCTCTCTCTTTTTGTCTGTCTTCCCTTTCTCAAAATTAATCAATTGTATTTTTTTAAATTGCTGATAAAAGAAATCAAAGAGAACCCAAATAAACAGAGGGACATATTGTATTTGTGGATTGGGAGACTAAACATAGCAAAGATATCAATTCTTCCCAAAATGATTTATAGATTTAATGCAGTTCCTACCAAAAATCCCAGCAAGGTTATCTGTAGAAATAGGCTTATTCTAATAATTTGATGGAAGAGCCAATGGCCTAGAACAGCTAAAACAATTTTGAAAAAGAAGAATAAAGTTGGAGGAACCATTCTAGCAAATGTTAAAGCTTACTATATAGCTGCAGTAATCAAGACAAATGTGGTATTGGCAAAGAGATAGGCATACAGATCAATGGAGCAGAATAGAGAACCCAGAAATACACCCCAGATATGTCCGACTGATTTTTGACTAAGATGCAAAAACATTTCAGTGGAGGAGGAAAATAGCCTTTTGAACAAATGGTGTTGGAGCTATTGAACATCACAGGTAATAAATAAATAAACCTAAAATTGAAAATGGATCATGGACTTAAATGTGAAACTAAAAACTATCCATCTTTTAGAACAAAACAGGAGAAAATCTTTGGGAACTAGGCATATAGTTCTTAGACTTGACATGAAAGTATGAGCAATAAAAAAATTGATAATACATTTTTTTAAAAAGTCAGAATGAAAAACTGATCAAAATTTAAAACTTCCTTTGCAAAAGAGGATGAAAAGGTGATCTATAAAGTGGGGAAGATATTTTAAAGCCACATACTCAACAAGGGACTTGCATCTAGAATACATAAAGAATTCTTAAACCTCAACAGAAACACAAACAGTCCAATTAGAAAATGGGCAAAAGACATGAACAGATACTTCACCAAAGAGGACATACAGGTGGCAAATAATCACATAAAAGAATGTTGGACATCATCATTCATTAGGGAAATGTAAATTAAGACACACTGAGATCTGACTACACACTTAGCAGAATGATTAAAGTAAGAATGGTGAGCGCTGGTTGGTTTTGCTCAGTTGTTAGAGCAAACTGTGACCCCCTGGTTCATAGGTTGACGCTCAACCACTGAGCCACGCCGGCCTGGCTGGAGAGATGATTTTTAAGCTGCGAGTGAAAGGATGAGGAGGGCTCACGGAGGAACGTTTAGCCATGCCCTTTCCCCAAAGGAAACTCTTCCTAGAGAAACCTCCTGGCCAGAGACATTGAGAACATCTCTGGACAGAACCAGTGCTAGGAAGGAATGTCTTGCTTTTCTTCTTGGCTACTAATTCCCTCCCTACTCCCTAGTATCCTGGGTTGATCCTCTTCCTTCCTCTTCTGCCATCAGCCTAGACAAACTGCTCGATGCTGGTCTCTATACTGGAGAAGTGACTGAGATCGTAGGAGTCCCAGGTAGCGGCAAAACCCAGGTAACACATATAGCTAGAAGCCAGAGGATTGGGAGAGGTGGGTGCATGATCCTGGATCCCCAGGGAAGCTTCTGCCAGTAGATTGTGACTCAGAGCTTGGAAGAGAGAAGATGGGTGGGGAGGAGTGGGCCTTGAACTTGACCCATTCATGTCACTGGGATCTGAATAGATTTGATGCAGAGCTCCCATCCTGGGCAATCTTTGAGGGCTCAAGTTCACCCAATGCCCAATCTCTACTCAGGTATGTCTTTGTGTGGCTGCAAATGTGGCCCATGGCCTGCAGCAGAACGTCCTATATGTTGATTCCAATGGAGGGCTGACAGCCTCCCGCATCCTCCAGCTACTTCAGGCCAGAACCTCAGATGAGGAAGAGCAGGTAAGGGGTAGGACTGCTGGATTCCTTTAAAGCCGTGACACAAAGACCCCATGATCCCTTACATTATAAGGATCTTAGCCACTTGGAGGAGTTGTCCTTTCTGGCTTTGAAACTTGCTGTTCTATGAATACTTCCTGTATCCTTCCGGTCTCCCTGTTGTAACATCATCCCAACTTGGATGCTGTTCACACACGATCCCCCCAGCTCCTTGCATACCTTAATTCAGGGCTGGCAAATACCCAGCATCAGGGTTCCTATCCCATTTCATCAGTCCTATCAC